TTTTTTGTTTTTTTTTTAATGGTAGTAAAATACACATACCAAATTTACCATTTTAACTGTTTTTAAGTGTATAGTTCAGTGACATAAAGTACATTCACATTATTGTGCAACCACCACCACTGTCCATCTCTGAAACTTTTTCATCCTCTCAGTCTGAAACTCTATCCATTAAACAGTAACTCTTCATTGCCTACTCTCGCCATCCACCTGTAATCACTATTCTACTTTTTATGTGAATTTGACTCCTCCAGGTACTTCATATAAGTAGAATCAGATGATTTTTGTCCTTTTGTGTCTGGCACATTTCATTTAATAGTAATAATGTCCTTGTGTTAGGCCATTCTTGTGTTGCCTTAAAGGAATATCTGAGACTGGGTGATTTGAAAAGAAAAAAAGTGTATTTGGCTCCTGGTGCTGCAGGCTGTACAAGCATGGCACCACCATCTGCTCAGCTTCTGGGGAGCCCTCATGGTGAGTTCACTCATGGTGGAAGGCAGAGGAGGAGCAGCCATGTCATATGGCGAGAGCAGGAGCAAGAGAGAGGGTGGGGAAGTGGCACACCCTTTTTAAGCAACCACATCTCATGAGAATTCACTCTCTATCCCAAGAACAGCACCAAGCTATGAGGGGTTGCGCCTGTGACCCAGTTGCCTCCCACCAGACCCCACCCCCAACATTGGGGATTGTATTTTTAGCATGAGATCTGTACAGGACAAATATTCAAACGATATCAATCCTGAAAGTTCATTCCTATTGTAGCATGTATCCAAATTTGATTCTTTAAGGTTGAGCAATATTTCATTGTATGCATATATCACTTTTTGGTTTTTTAAAATTTATTTGTCAGTGGACATTTGGGCTGTTTGTACCTTTTAACTATGTGAATGATGCTGCTATGAACATTGGTGTATAAATACCTGTTTGAGTCCCTTCTTTTAATTCTTTTGGTTATGTACTTAGGAGTGGAATTGCTGGGCCATATGGTAATTGTATGTGTAGTTTTTTTAGAGACTGCCGTACTGTTTTCCACAGTGACTGCACCATTTTACATTCCCACCAGCAGTGAATAAGGGTTCCAGTTTCTCTACATCCTCTACCTCTTTTCTAACACTTGGTAGTTTCTGCTTTTTTTTTTTTTTTTTTTTGAGACGGAGTCTCGCTCTGTCGCCCAGGCTGGAGTGCAGTGGCGGGATCTCAGCTCACTGCAAGCTCCGCCTCCCGGGTTCACGCCATTCTCCTGCCTCAGCCTCCCAAGTAGCTGGGACTACAGGCGCCCACTGCCATGCCTGGCTAATTTTTTTGTATTTTTGTAATAGAGACGAGGTTTCACCATGTTAGCCAGCGCCCGTCTCGGCCTCCCAAAGTGCTTTTTTTTTTTTTTGAGACGTAGCCTCTCTGTGTCTGCCAGGCTGGAGTGCAGCAGCGCGATCTCGGCTCACTGCAAGCTCCGCCTCCTGGCTTCACGCCATTCTCCTGCCTCAGCCTCCCAAGTAGCTGGGACTACAGGCGCCCACTGCCATGCCTGGCTAATTTTTTTGTATTTTTGTAATAGAGACGAGGTTTCACCATGTTAGCCAGGATGGTCTCGATCTCCTGACCTCAAATGCACCCGCCTCAGCCTCCCAAAGTGCTGGGATTACAGGCATGAGCCACCACCTGGCCGGTAGTTTCTGTTTTTTTATTCAAAATAATTGCCATTCTAATGGGTGTAAAAAGTCATGGTTTTAATTTACGTTTTCTTCATGACTGCCATTGAGAAGTTTTCTTCTTTGTGTGTCTGTTCAAATATTTTCACATTCTTTTCAGAACGTGTGTTCTTTGTCAGATAGATACATGTATTTCTTCTTTACTAATTTTCTGTCCACTTACTAATTATCAAGAGAGGAATGTTGAAATCTTCAACTGTAATTTTGAGTTTATCTTCCTTCTGTTCTGTTCATTTTTGCTTCATATGCTTTGAAGCAAAATCTTGAAAGCTGTGTCATTAGGTGTGTTCACATTTAGGATTGTTAGGTCTCCTTGATTAATTGATGTCTTTATCATTATGAAATGTCTCTGTTTATCGCCGGTAATGTTCCCTATCTAAAGTCTACTTTGGTATTAGTGTATCCATTCCTTTCTTATGATTAATTTTTGCACATTGTATCATTTTGCTGTGTTTTTATTTTCAACTTATTGGTCATTTAATGTCTGTCTTTTAGATAGCGTATAGTTGCATCTTGCTTACAGATTGATTTTTTACGATCTTTGCTTTTTAATTTGATTAAGTCCATTTACATTGCAGTTGGCTGTATTGTGTTTAAGACACTGTTTGTTTTCTATTTGTCTCATCTTTTCTTCCTTTTCTGCCTTCTTTTCGGTTAATGGAGCATTTTTGGAATTTTGTTTTGTCTCCATTATTAGCTTGTCCCTCTGTTTTTTCCCCCAGTGACACTTCTAGGATTAACAATATGCACCTTTAACTTACCGCAGTCTGCCTTCAGAAATATTATTCCTCTTAATGTAAGAACTTTAGAATAGTATACATCCATTTACTCTCCCTCATTCGTTTTGGTATTGTGAGCTTAACATTTTACTTCTATATGTGTTATAGATTCCACAGTAGCATTTGAAACTATTTCTTTCAAAAGCCAGTTGTCTTACAAAGAACCTTAAAAACTAAGAATAACATTCCTTTCTATTTACCCTCTTATTTACCATTTTTATTTCTTATCCTTTGTGGAGATTTCTTTTTGTAGATCCAAGTTTCTTGGTGTTATTTTCCTTCTACTTGAAAAAATTTCTTAAACATTTCTAAAGTGTAGGTCTATTGGCTACAAAATCTTTCAGCTTTTATTTGTATGGAAATGTCTTTATTTCACTCTTCAACATTTTATTGTACAATTTTTCAAGCCACAGAGACTTTAAAATAATTGTAGAATATAATTTCACAACTAACATTTTGTTATATTTGTTTTTGTCTTCTATCTTGTCCATCTATCCATCCTCTCTTCAAGTGTCTTTTTTTATGCTTTTCAAAGTAAGTTGCAGATGTTAGTATACCACACCCTTAACTTCAGCATGTATATTAACTAAAACTTAGTAGTTTAGTGTTTTTAACTACAATTTACTATGCTGTTCCAGTTATTTATTGCTGTGTAATACATTGCCCCAAACTTAGTGCCTTACATATCAGCAACTATTTATTTTGCTCATAAGTCTCTCCTTTGGTCAGGGATTGGCAAGGAGAGCTTGTCTTTGGCAATACATTGTAACAACTGTTTACATGGCATTTACATTGTGTTTGGTATTATAAGTAATCTAGAGATGGTTTAACATATTTGAAGATGCATGTAGGTCATATGCAAATACTATGCCATTTTATATAAGGGATTCGAAGCATTCTTGGATTTTGGGATCCATGGGAGTCCTGGAACCAGTCCTCTGTAGATAGTTGAGGTACGACTGTAGTCTTTGGATTGAAAGAGTCACTAATTTCGCTCAGATTCAAAGAGAAGGGCCATAGACTCCACCACCTGATGAAAAGATAACAGTGTTACATTGTTAAGAGCATGTAGAATGGCTTCTGTTGTGACCATCTTTGGAAAATACAGTTGACCACATATACCATTTCATGAGCTGTGACAAATGCATACACCTTTGCCAGAAAGTTCTATCAGGGTACAGAACCTGCACCTCTTTCCAGTTATTCCTTCCCCCCACACCACCCGTAGAACCTAACATTGTTCAGATTGTTTCATCTTAGTTTAACTTGCTTGGAACTTTATGTAAGCAGAGTCATACAATACTTATGTGTTGTAAAAAGTTTCTTTTTGCTCAGCATAATGTTTTTAAGATTCATCCATACTGTTGAATGTTTCAGTGGTTTGTGACTTCATCTATTAAGGGACACCTGGGCTGTTTTCAGTTCCTAGCTATTATAAATAAAGGTACAATGAACATTGGTGTGAAAACAGTCTCTGTGTGGACATATATGTTTCTTTTCTCTTGGTTAAATAGTTGATGTGTTTTTCTTTCAGCGTTTGTTTTTGATGAGAAGTCTGATTATACAGTCATGTGCCACATAATGACATTTCAGTCAACAAGAGATCATAGTTGACAATAGTCATTTAAGATTATACCACCATATTTTCACTGTACCTTTTCTAGGTTTAGATATATACTTACACTGTGTTACAGTTGCTTACAGTGTCAGTACAGTAACATGCTGTACAGGTTTATAACCTAGGAGCACCCAGGCTATACCATATATCCTAGTTCTGTAGTAAGCTATGCCATCTAATCTAGATTTGTGTAAGTACATTCTGTGATGTTTGCACAATGACAGAATCACCTAATGATGCCACCTAATGATACATTTCTCAGAATGTATCCGTGCTGTTAAGTGATGCATAATGCTAATTATCTTTTCTTCCTAATACTAAGTCTTCTTTCTCTGGCTGCTCTTAAGATTTTTTCTTGTCACTTTTTGTTTCTGATGATGACCATGCTAAGAGTTGTGTTTTTTTTTAATCTGTATATTTATGGTTTTCCTTAAATTTGGAAGATTGTTGCCATTGTTTCTTCTATATATATATATGTATTTTTTTACCACCTCTCCTCTTCTTTCATCATTTCCTCGTTTTCTGGGACTCCACTTACACATGTGTTAGACTGTTTGGTATTATCCACAGGTCATTAACGTCATATTCATTATTTTTCAGTCTTTTTATTTGCCTGTGCTTCAGTTTGCTTTGTCTTCTATTTTACTGTTTTTTCTCCTGCCTTGTTAAATAATTTCAGATATTTTGCTTTATATTTCAAGAAATTCCATTTGATTCATTTTCATCTTCATGTATTTTTTTGAAATCTTGAGCATATTTGTAATAACTGAAAATCAGGTTACCTATTGATTTCATGATTTTTTTCACTCTGAATTTGTTGGTTTTTTCTCTTGATTATGGGTTGTATTTTCCTAGTTTATTTTTATTTTTATTTTTACATATTTAATGATTTTTTAAGATTGGATGCTGGACATTGTAATATTTTGTTGTTGGGTGACTAGATTTTGTTTTCTTTTAGAGTGTTTTGTTTTGTAGCCAGCTAAATAACTTGCTGGTCAGTTTTATTCCTTCAGGGCTACATTGGAGTTTGTCTAGAGAGGGCTCCCAGTGTCACCGTGTTCTCTTCGCTCAGGTTAGAGGGAATTTTAGGAGTCTCCCAGTCCTTTATAAGCACTGGGAATATTTCAGCTCATTGCCCCTCTTTCCCTAGCTTCCACTTACCTTAATCGTGTACAGTTAGTACTGAGCAGTAGACTCTCACATGACAGATTTCTGAAGCCATTTCTCTGCCTTCTCAGACAAGCACCCCTCTTGTCTGGCACTTGTCATACATTTTACCCACTTCGGCTTCCTCAGCTCTGATCTCTTGATTCTGACCTCACTGAAACTGCTGTCTTCTCATTGGGTTCCCCTCCATTGACTGCAGGTTGGAAATTACCTCCAGGCAGGCATTCAAGCAGTGGATGGCTCACCTCCTTTGTTTTTGTCCTTTCATGTATTACAGTCCTGTGCTGCCTGTTATCCAAGGTCTGAAAATTCTTGTTTGAGAAGGAGCAACTGTCAGATGCTTTTGGATCTTTCTCTGAAATTAGCTTTCTGTTGTGTTTACCTCTTTGTCTAATGCTAATACCATATCAGATTTTTTTTTTTAAATCTTTTAAATATACAGAAGAGTGCACTTCCAAATGTATAGCTTGCTGCACTTTCGCACACTGAGCACACGTATTTAGCTAGCGTTCAGATCAAGAAGCAACATCGGCAGCTCCTGTGTGCTCGCTCCTGTGTGCTCTCTCCTTTGTGCTCGCTTGTGCTCTGTCATCCTCCGTTTTCTTCCATGTGTAACCGCTGTCCTGACTTCTCATAGCATAGATTAGATTTGCCTGTTTCGTCCTTCAACTAGAATCAAGCACACTTACTTGTGTCTGATTGCTTTTAATGTGTTTGTGAGATTTATCCACACTGTTGGTTGTAGTAATTGTTTATGATAGTCGCTGTATAGTATTCCATTTTAAGAATATGCCACAGTTTAATCTGCTGTTGATGGACATTTAATCATTTTTGGTTTGGAATTGTTAAGAATATTGCTGCTGCTCTAAACATTTCAGTGATTGTCTTCTCGTGAATATGTGTACTTAATTTTTTTGATGTGTACTTAAGAGGGAAATTTTTAAGTCAGAGGGTATGCATATATTTAGTGTATACTCCGTTTTTGAAGGTGTTGTGCTGATTTTAATTATACCATTTAAGTTAGTATGTTTTAATATCTGGTAGAGAAAGGGACATTATTAGAAACAGTTGTTTTGGTTATTCTTACATATTTAGCCCTTGAAATAAAATGTTTCTTAAATTGGCATTTACTTATATTTGTGTTGCTTTGGGAAGAAATGATACCTTTGTTCATCTATGAGTCATGTTTGGAACTAGCTCAAAGGCCATGGGTCCTGATTCCTTTTTTTTTTTTTTTTTCTTGTAGAGGGGAGGTATGGTGTCAAGAAAACATAGTCACCATTATTATGAAAATTAAAATATGGAAGAGATGATCCCTACATCAATCAGCTTACAACTAGAGGCACTGACAAATGTATACAGATAGCTGTAATGTAAGGTATAACATAATAAATATAAGGAGACATTAATTATTTTATGGTATTAAGAATGTATAATAAGACATGAAGGAGACGGTGATTATGTATAAGAGTTTAGACAACCCTGTGAGATACAGTGTTTAGAATGAGGGCAGTTTTTAACATGGCATGATAGGTGGGTGGGGGATAGAGGTTAGTAATGGATAGAGAACCATTTCTGAGTGAAGTCTCCTCAGAAGCAAACACATTGAAGTCAGAAACACAGATATCCAGTGTATTATAGCCAGTGGTCAAATGATGGGGCTAGATCTGGTACCTGGTGATGATGTCATGTAGTGGACAGTAGTGCTGGGATGGCTGGGGTCAGGCAGGGGCCTCATATAAAATGTGAAGGAGTTAGAAATTTATTCGGTTGGCATGAGAAAGTGTTAAAGCTTTTGAATATAGAACGATATGTCTAACTTTGAGTTTTTAGGAAGATAATGCTAGTGGGAAAATTGAGGATAAAGGCAAAAGGGAAACCAGTAGGACAGTATTGGTAAGTTTGGGGAAAAAAGTAGTAAGATATATTTTTAAGGAAATTTATAGGGTTTGAGTATAAATTAGAAGGCAGGTACAAGGGAATGAACGTGGTCTTTAGAATTAGACAAATTAGAGTTTAAATCTTAACCTGCATTGCATTTAAAGGACTGAAAGCAAGTCCCCAAAGAGAAAAAATTTGTCTTTTGTAAGATGCTTATTCTATGAACATTTATAAGCACTGGAAGTATAAAAGCAAATGATACACATATTCTCTTGAAGTCTGGTCTAGTCTGGAAGAAGAGGCTGCACTGGCAGGTTTTGACCAAATTGTGTAGAGTCTCATCTGACACGATTGGGAGCTTTGGCTTTATTCTGGAAGCAACTAAAAGCCATCAAAAAAGACCGGGGAATAGTGTGGGAATGTAGAAATGTAGGGGAATTTCTAAGGGTGAATTAGTAGTAATAGGTAAACAATTTGATATACTGGGAAAGAGAGAGACTCTTTAGAATATGACTGAGAATCTTCCAATTTGAGCAGCTGGACTGATAGTGCTACCATCATTACCTCACAGGATTTTTCTTAGTGTGTCTTATAAATGTTGCTTGTCCCTCATAAAGAATGGTTTTCCTTTTCTTCAGACTAAGGACTTTTTATTATAATACACAACTTACCCCTTGTATTTCTCCATCACAACCCTTAACTGTGCATTGCAATTGCATAATTCATTGTGGTTTTTATTTGTGCCCATTTCCTTCACCACATGAGGACAAGAAATTATGTCTCATTTTTCTACCACTGCATCTTCATCCACCTAGTAGGCACTCAAAATCTAGTAGACAATTTTCGAATTAATGATTATGAAGAATTTGAAGGCTGAACGAGTATCAACCTACACAGTGGTCAGGGCAAATAAAAATGAGGGTGAGAAAGTAATGAATGGCACCAAATTTTTCAATTCATAACTAGGACAGTGAGATTAGGCAGAGTGAGTTCTTTGGGAAAATAATTTGAGTTTGATTTTAGATACGTTGAATGTAGATGCTAATTAGACATCTATATGGATGTGTACCGTTGGTAATATGTAGTTACAGGCATACCATGCCAGAGATAAGGGCTTAAAGATACGGAGTTAGGGGTTCGTAAGCATAGAGGTGCTATGGGAATGGATGACATTGTGCAGAAAATTGGTTTAGGTTAAGAAAAATGGCTATTGACCGAAACTTGGAGAGAGGCCATGTATGAGAGGTAGGAAGATGAACTAGCAGAAGACCTTGTTGCCTTTAGAGGGATGGAAGGAAATTAGTGGATACTACATGAGGGAAGCCAGAGGAGATGAGGAGTCATTAGCAGTCTTAAAAGCTACAAAAATTAAGTAGGATTAAGGGGCCAAAGCACTGGGAGAATATACAGAAATGATGGAAACTTTTGTAAGAAAAATTTCAGTAGGTAGGAAAACAGCAGCTGAGCTAGTGGTTTTCACGTCTTTTTGGCAGTAAAAGGAAAGAGGATAAAGAAATGGTACTCTGAGGAGCTAATGGAGTTGAGGGAATTATGTTGCAAGTATTATTTGAAAGCAGTATTTAAAACTTTTTAAGTCTTAACTGCAGAATGGACTGAAATGAGGAGAGCCTAAAGCAGGAAGACTTAGGAAAATTGTTGGAGTAGTCCTTTAGTTGTGAAATGTGTAAACGGATGAAAGTTAGACAGTTTTAATAAGTAGCATTATCCATAAATATAAGACACCATAAACATGGTGCAAAGGAGAACAGAAGTGTTGGAAGTTATGATAAAAAGTGATGGAAAAAAAAAACAGTTTGTGAAATTAAGTTTTGAAACAGCTTTAGAAGGAGGTGAAGGAGAAATAGAAATGAATAAAATGAAAATTTTAGGAAGACAGATGTAGATCAACATAGGTATGTCTTATTAGACTATACTTATTTATAAAATTATTAGACTGAGCCCTCTGTTGAAGAGATAAAGTAAGAGAACTATGTCTGGTATTAGGATTCTTACGGTTAAATTGGCAAGTGAGTGTGCCTAATATTTGTAATGCTTACAGTTTTTGTTATTCTGTATTTTTACAGATTTGGTGTATTTCCTCTATGATTATGTGTTCCTAACTCGTAATTTGGAAGGGAGGGCTTCTTCAAATGAGATCTGTGTGTCATGTGAAGTATATGTTAAAATGCAAATTCATTTCTGTGTTCTTGGATGGGTCTGAAAAAAATTAAAAAAAAATAATTCATGAACCCCTACTTCATGCACTGAATGAGAATCTTTGCGGGTAGAGCCCAAGTAGTTGCATTTTTAGATTTCCCCAGGTAATTTTGTTATAGGCTGAAGTTTGAAACTCAGTCTCTAAAACCTTAAAAGTTGGTTAATTTTATTTCAAAATGTTGATATGCAGTGTATTCATTTTCTACAATCAACCTCTAGGACACTGGATAGGTTTCTTAATCTTTGAGATTTGGTTTCTTTATATGTAATGCAGTACATTAAAGGACTTTATTTCTGTTCCATTGAGGAACGTTCTGATTGTATACAAACAAGTTAAGAATTTACAGTGATACTTTAGGGGCTTGCTGTAAGCGTCAGGATTTTTTTTTTTTTTTTTTTAAGAGTTAAGTTTTGATATATATTAAGTGGTTGATTTAATAAATTATAATTATCGTAGTATATTGAAGTCCTGTTTTGTGCCAGGTAGGCATTATACTATAATTTTTTAATGCATCTTCTCTACTACTATAACCTGACATTGGAGACTCAAGGGTCAGAGGGTCGACCCAAGGCTGCTACTCTAGAAAGTGGTAGATAGATGCCCAGATTTGTACCTAACATAGCCGATGCTTAGCATATAGAATTAAAAACAAAATTGCTATAGGTATTTGAAGGGATTAGGGGGATATAGTCAAATAGTTTTCGTATGTATTTAGCCTGTTTGGAGGGAGGATAGAGTAAAGAAATAGAAGGCAGTAAGCTTTGTGGATGAATATGGGAAATATGGCTTTGCCTGCTGAAAGCACTCAGGCCACAGGGCCTGCCTACCTACGCTTTCCTCATCCTGGCAGCCTCTATAGAGTAATTTGTTTCTTGATACGTTTTTGGATGTTCATAATTATTATAGAAAATAAATTTGCTTTCATGATGAAATTTAGTACCTCTTTTTTTTTTTGAAAGTTTATCCAGTTGTTTATATAAAAAGAATTGAGTGAGGTGTTTTATATTTTAGGTTAAAAATCTGTAAGAGCCTGATTTTAGAATTCACCAGCTCCTCAGAAGTTTGGCGAAATATGGTATGTTTTTGTTTTATTTTTTGGAATTCGTATTGCATGTGTATCTTAATGTCATAATAATGACAGATATGTTCAGCAAATTTGGGCCCCTGCCATTTTTAAAGCATTGTGTCAGGTGCTCACTAACTACACTTCCAAGACTGTATGAGGGACCCAGGTAGGGTGCTGAAAACATTTACAATTGCTATGAAGGTAAAATAATACGCATAAAAAGATTGAGAGGGCAGGTTTGGATTTTAGGCTATGAGTATTAATAGCTTGTCCATTTGTTGTTGTTGTTGCTGCTGCTGTTGTTTTTGAGACAGAGTCTTGCTCTGTTGCCCAGGCTGGAGTGCAGTGGCATCTTCTCGGCTCACTGCAACCTCCATCTCCCGGGCTCAAGTGATTCTCATGCCTCGGCCTGCTGGGTAGTTGGGATTACAGGTGCGTGCCACCACACCTGACTAATTTTTGTATTTTTAATAGGGGTTTCACTGTGTTGGCCAGGCTGGTCTCGAACTCCTGGCCTCAAGTGATTCACCCGCCTCGGCCTCCCAAAGTGCTGGGATTACAGGTGTTAGCCACCATACCCGACCATTTGTGAGCACATTATATGTCAGGCACTGTTCTGAGATATTTAGGTGTTAGCTTGTGCATCCATGACAGCTCTCTGGAATAGGTACTATTATCCTAATTCTACGTCTAAGGAAACTGAGACTCGGAGAGATTAAGTAACTTGCCCAAGATTTCTCAGCTAGTGAGTGACCAAACAGACGTAAATCCAGCCTGGCCTTGGAGCCTTTTGAGCACCGTATCTCATAAAAAAGGGGACTGGAAGAGAGGACTTGACTCAGTAGTTTTCAAAATACGTATAGCTCTTTCATTACATTGAGATCAATTAGTCAATTAAAAGGTATTTTAACTTTATTATTTTTGTGTTTACAAGATAGAAAGTTAGACTTGTTTGAATCTTCTAATTCCACATACCATTAGCCTCTTGAGAACACAAGGGAAAGCTGTATCATGACCACATTGTTTATTTTAGGGAAGGTGGTGTTTCCCATATGACCTCAGCAATGTCTAGGTTCTTAGTAGGAAATGTATGGTTAGGATAGGAATATCTGGGAGATTGTGTTATTTCTTACAGATACTGTAAATCCCATTTATTGGAATCCCCTACAATTATTTTTGTATATTCAGGCCAGTCCTCACCTAATCTGGATTTTGAAGCCCTGCGTTCATAACTGCATAGGTATGGGCTCAGACATTCATGTTTTAACCCTTGGTATTTGCAGATACCTTGCTGTTTTATATTGGGTTCTGAAGCCACACTGGTAACCACCTTCTGCGCTTGACTGTTGTTGCTTTGAGGATGTTAACTATGAAATGTTTCTTCCTCCTAATTTCCTCACCTTTCTGTAGTTGACACCTCAGATTTGGCCTGGATAGGGGAATCGTGAGGGGAAAGAACTAGTTGTACAAAATGATCATTTGATACTGGAATATTTCAGATGTATGGTATCTTTGCCATAACTACAGTGTGAGTAAAGAGGCCTGCTAAATTTGAACTGTGACAATCAGAAAAGTTCAGCTAAGGCCATGTAAGGGGTTAAAAAGATACTTGGTTGAGGGAGGAGGATATGCTTTCATCTTTTGCCATACTTTTTCATGAAATTAAATCTTAGTAGATTTATGGCCAAGAAAGAGTAGAACATATTTTCATGCAGTACTTAAGGGGTTTTGACTGATGTTAAATGACTCTACGTAAATATAGAGTTAGTAGGACTAGACTTTGTGTTTATGTGTGTGTGTGTTTATGTGTATGTATATAACTATTCCATTAAGCATTTGACTACTTGGTGACTGATTTCTCTATCAGCTTAAGAATCTTTTGAGTAATTAGTCCCCACTTAAACTTGCCATATTTGAAAAATCTCAATCTATGTTATGAATCTTTACTCATTACGTATTCTTAAATCTTGAAACCCAGTATAGCAAAACTAAGCCAAAACAAACAAACGAAAAAATCCATCCCTTGATAGGAAGTCAGTATATCTGGGTTTTAATCATTCCTTCAACACTAGTTCCAAAATCTTGGGCAAGTCAGTTAATCACTCGGAGGCTGCTTCATTTTTTTTTGTTTGTTTTAAAAAATTCTTACTATATTATCTGTCTCGATCAGGTAAAGCAAAAGTTACAAGACTCAAGGTATTATTGACCAAAATGCTTCATAAAGTGTAAAATTACATAAAAGTACAAGGAATTATTACATTTTCTCAAATGAAGAGATCATTTAAGAAAAACAAAATGCTGGAAAATAGTCCTTTTTTCTATAATAATTACTCTTCTGATGAATTTTAAATTGACACCTAATATGAAGCTTTGAAAATAATTTTTTGAACAATGAATTGGGTTTATATATTAAAGTGTTCTAACCAAAGGTTTGTTTAATTTATTAGAGTTATTAAGCCTACGCTCAGATCAAGGTAGCAGCTAGACTGGTGTGACAACCTGTTTTTAATCAGTGACTCAAAGCTGTGATCACCCTGATGTCACCGAATGGCCACAGCTTGTAAAAGGTAATTTTGAATTATTTTACAGCCTTTAAAAGGCTGTCATTGTAAAGTGAAATACATACTGTAGAAATGAAGACAATGTATAGTTGGCAGGAATATTGCTAAGAATAGTGGGCCTGAGAGTTGACCTGCTTCATTTAATCTCCTTAAAATATTTTAGTGTCTTTTTTCTATTAAAAATATCAGTAGCCACTGTCAAAGACCTGTCTGTATGAACAGGAAAGTATTTCTCAAAAACCTTCAAAGTTTTAAACATTTTACTATAAACCTTATAGAAAACATGAAAAATTTCTTAATATGTATTTTAAAGTATGCCTTTTATGTGGTGAACGTTTTAACTAAACATTTCTCTAGAAGTTTTTATGACATTAATAAAACTAGTATACTTTTCTCTCCTAGAGAGTTACAGTGGAGGTAAAAGGAGTGGCTTGCAGGATGGAGAAGCTGCACCAGTGTTATTGGAAGTGAGCCACCATTTGAATTTGCTAGCTCATGCTGCAGTATTCAGATTAGTGGGCGTTTTGTGATCATATTTTCTGCGATTCAAATCAAGACCTAAAATTGAGACTCTTCTAAGATTTGCTTTTTATTATCTAATGTTACTTGGTTATTGTTTCAGTTTTAAAATTTCTTTTCTGACTTGTTATTCTGACACACTTTAGGATAACCTAAGTCAATAGTTTAATACAAAAATTTCCCTTTGGTTATATGTTTTGAATTAGATTATATGTTCTGCATTTACAAGCACATACAGGATTCTTATTTCCAGCAACTTGGCAGTAAAAGAATAAGTAAACTCTTCAGGAGCCACAGTCAAGCTTGGGAACTATTACTAGGTGGTATATATTTCATAGTTTATGTTTGTTTGTTTCCAAGACAAGGTCTCACTCCGTTGCCCATGCTGGAGTGCAGTGGCACGATCACAGCTCACTGCAGCTTTGACCTCCTGGGCTCAAGTGACCCTCCCACCTCAGCCTTCCAAGTAGCTGGGACTAAAGGCGCCCACCACCACACCCGGCTAAGAGACGAGGTTTCATCATGTTGCTCAGGCTAATCTTGAACTCCTGAGCTCAAGTGATCCTTATGCCTTGACCTCCCAAAGTGCTGAGATTACAGACATAAACCACTACACCTGGCGTATTTCATAGTTTTGAGAGTTTGAATTCTAAACTTGGGATTTTTTTGGTAACTTATTTAGACTATTCTAGAAATATACTGTTATTAGGATGAGTAGAAATTTATTCAGACATAAATTATTAATATTCACTGCAAGAAAAATGTCTGCTAGTTCTGTATATATTCATTTTTCTCTTGATTAAAAAACAATTTGCAATTTGAATAGAACAACTTTGCTATGTTTAATAGACCCAGGACAGATTTATTTTAAGGTAATAATCTTTCAGTCCTTGTCCTTCTTCTATACTGAATTGGTTTACTTAGTTTGTCTTATCAGTGGTTTTTAATAGCCTACTTTAATATATGTAAAAAGTAGTAATTAATATTTTACAGTTTGGTGACATTTTGATGCCAAAGTTCACATATTCTCTTGCTTAGGAAACAGAAATTGGGAAGACAGATATAGTTATCATTTGATAATGTATTTAAATTCTATCCCATTTCAGGATCTCAAAACTTTGTAACAGTTACATATTGTACTTCTAAGACTTAGATTTGTTTTCCTTCTTGTGTCTTACCTTTTTGCAGTAATATTTTTATTTTCCTATCATCATGTCCTCATTTTTTCCCCTCTCTTCTCTTTCCTTGTTAATTTTGAAAGTTTTGCTGCCTACGTGTTTGAAAGCTTCTAATCTGCCTCTCTTCCCTCAGTGCCAGCAGGTTTATTTTTTGTTTTGCAAGCCAGCTCTGCCTCCTTACAGTATGACATCTGATGCTGGAGGGTCGCACTTTCAAAAATGAGTCAGCTGGTACATGGGGTTATCATCAATTTTTAGCTCTTCTGTCTGGGAGATACAAGTTTGGAAGCAATCTGGGGGTACTTACCCACAGGCTGGCGGAGACCAGGTGTGTCACATAGGTGGTTTGCTTGCTCCCTGGGGGAGAGGGTGGAGTGAAATTTTTGCATTTGTGTCACTGCCAAGTCACTGCCACCTCCAGCATGCCCCAGTTTTTAGTTCTTACGTAATTTTGTACAAAATTGAAAATTTAAATACATTGCAAAGAAGATCTAAAATAAATATTTGAGCTGCTGGAGTCTTTTTTTTTTTTTCTTTTCCATTCTTGTCCTTGGAATCTGAATGAATTGCAGTGAGGGTAATTTTGAGAGTCTGATAAAGAAGTGAAGTTTTTTTTTGTTTGTTTTGTTTTTAAGCTAAGAAATTTATCAAACAGGTGTGTGTTTGTGTGTGTGTGTGTGAGGGAGTGTGTGTGTGAGACTCTGATTTTGATTCTTGTTAGAGTTGCTTAAAGTTGGAAGCCTGAAGTCAGTGAGAAGTTCACAAATCAGGACTTTGTAATGCCAATTAGAAAATTTAGCTTTTGACCTCAAAAAACATATTTTATCTAGTTTGGGAATTTCTAAGTGTTAGAAATCCGTATTATATTGACTCGCCTGACATCATTCATTGTTGCTGATGCTGTTTATAAAAGTGAATAGGGTAACAGGAACTTATTTTTAACGACATGGTAGAGATAGGGAAATACTGATTCATGTCTCGTGAAATGAAAATGAAAGGCTTTTTAGTGACTTAGAATTTTAAATATTTCTACATAAGAGAGCAGTGGTATATTTAGAAATAACAAAGTAACTGGCAACTATTTAAAACGGAAGTTAATTCACAGCTATCCCATGTAAAACTTTACCTCAGGTAATACACTTTTGACAGGTAATACACACAGTAAGTGTATTTTTAGGGAAACAATTTCATTTTTGAACCAAGATAATCATCATTTGGATGTTGTATCTAATTTAAGTGTCTTTAAACTTACCAAGGTACTGGATTTTAGTTTGAATTCTCTAGAGTAGCGGTAGCGGTTGGCACATTTGTTCTTAAGGGCCAGAAAATAAATATTTTAGGTTTTGTGGGCCATGGGGTTTCTGCCACGAGTCCTCAGCTCTGTCCTTTTAGCGTGAAAGCAGCCATAGATGATACCTAAATGAATGAGTATGGCTGCATGCCAATAAAACTTCGTTTACAAAACTACATGGCTGGCCTAGGCTTTAGTCGGTCTGCCTAGGGAGTAGTTTACTGACCCACTAATCTAAAGGTTAATACTGCAAGTGAATACCAGTGAGTACCTTTGTTAATGTGGATAACCAATACTTGGCTATAGGAAGTTTTATAGTTGTGTGTTTTATTACACGTATTTGACTTTGTGAATAATTATGGCTTATAATGGCTTGTCTGTTGGTATCTATGTATAGCGTTTACAGTTTCCTTTAAAAAACATGCATTGAGTTTTTTGATAGTCCAACCATTAAAATAAATGTGTTGTATGGCCACTTGATCTGACCACTTTCTTTCATGTTTACGTCTGTATTTTTAAAACTGTTTTATTTAGTGCTGAAATCTTGTTTACGAATTTGTCTTCCTAAGTAATATGTCTACCTTTTTTTGGAGTATGGAATATTTTGCTAACTGTTTCTCAATTGCATTTTACAGATCAGGAGAACCTCAGTCTGACGACATTGAAGCTAGCCGAATGTAAGTGTAACTTGGTTGAGACTGTGATATCTTATTTTGAGTTGCCCTAGACTGCTTTAAATTTGTCACATTATTTGGAAATAATTTCTGGTTAAACTAAAGGAATCCTTTAGCAGTAAATTGGGACATAGGAACATACCTACTTTTCTTCCTACCAGATAACTCTAAACCTTGGTAACAGTTTACTGGATTTCTACTACTAGATAGATAATTGCACACGCCTGAATTCTTAGTCTTTTTGCTTCCCTGGTAGCAGTTGTAAGGAAATAGGGAAATTGAGGAAAGAGTTAAGTTTAACAATCTCAACGCCTACCATGTTTAAGGCGTCAGTACTACGTTACAGATACAGAGATGCACAATAATTAGTTTTCACCCTACAGAAATTTATATTATACTCAGAGTGAAAGATGCAGAAGCAAATAATTTCAGTCATTGAGGTGGAATGGTATCCAGAATATAATAGTAACATAAAGGAGTACTGGAGTGAGTACCCAGGCTTGCAGTAGGAATCCAGTATAGATGGCAGGGAAGTAAGAGTGGCCAGGAAATGCTTAGTTCAGTCTTGAAATGTGACTGGGAATCGGGCAGGTAGAGGCATGACCAGCTTATTCTAGGCAGAAGTATGAGCCAAAGTTCAGAAGCAGCATAGGCAGTAGGGGCAATAGGCAGTTGAGGACTTGTAGATCATAAGCTAGCTGAGAGGTAGGAAAATGAAGAAGATAAGATGTGATAGAAAGGTATTTGGGAGTCAGCACAGAAATTGCTCAGTAGGTAGATAGTAGTAAGTTTGTCAAACGTGTATTTTTAATAACCTTGCAGCAGAGAAAGGATTGAAGAGAAACGTGTGGTGGTAAGGTAGTTCAGTCAGTGAGAACCTTAACAATGACAGTGGTATAATAGGAATTCAAGATAAATTTTTCTGGATTTAAAAAATATTTAGAACATGAAGTAAGTAAGACTTCAGTGAATTTATTGTAAAGACTAAAGATGTTTCAGATAATAGAGGTAGTAATTATCAAAGCAAAGTTTTTCAAGGTAGTAAGGATTGGAATGAAAAATACAGGTGTATCTCTCATACAGGTAATATAAAAGAAAGAAAAATGCAGATATAGTGATTGACCTTGAATAAGAGGAAAGATGCCCATCTAATGAAATTAGAAGAAAGAAGTTAAGATGGATGTGTGATATTAATTGTAATTGTGGGTGAGGTTGGAAAAATCAAGATATTCTTACTGAAAATATTGTAACCCTATTTAAATGCTGGTGTATGTTGTGAATCTGCAAGAAATGACTATAAAATGTATTTCTCAAATTTATGTGACTCAGCCATGTGACTTGTCATTTAAGTTTTAAAAAATTGTAAAATACACATAATGTAAAATTTTCCATTTCACCATTTTTAAGTATTTGGCTCAGTGGTATTAAGTATATTAATATTGTTGCACAGTCACCATCAGAACTCTCTATTTTGCAGAACTGAAACTCTGTACCCTTTAAACAATAATTCCTCATTTCCTTATCTTCACAGCCTCTGACAACCATTATTCTACTTTGTGTCTAATTTTGACTGCTCTAAGTACCATCATACAGTTTTTGTGCAAATCATACAGTTTTTGCCCTTTTATGATTGACTTATTTTACTTCGCAGTGTCCTTACGTTTCATCAATGTTTAGCGTGTTTCAAAATTTGCTTCCTTTTTCAGGCTGAATAATGTTTTATTGTATGTATATACCACATTTTGCTTATCCGTTTACCTGTTGATGAGCACTCAGGTTGCTTCCATGTTTTAGCTATTACAGATAATGTTGCTATGAACAGGAGTGTACAAATATCTTTTTGAGACCCTGCTTTGAATTGTTTTGCATACATACCCAGAAGTGGAATTGTTGGATCATATGGTAATTTTATTTTTAAAATTTTAAGAAACTGCCATACTCTTTTCCAGAGCAATTGTGGCTTTGCATTTCTACCACTAGTGTACAAGGGGTCCAGTTTCTCGACATCCTTCCCATCACATATTTGTGTGTGTGTGTGTACTTTAATAGTAGTCATTCCAGTGGGTGTAAGGTAGTATCTTACTGTAGGTTAGTGACCACGAAACTTTATGAAATATTTTTTAATAATATTTTGTGGAATAAAGGGTTTGTTTAGAGGTTTTGAGAAGACTGAAAACTTAGGAAGCTACTGAGGGGAATGGGTGAAGAAGTTGATCAAAAGTTATTGAGAATCTTGGCTGGCTACCTGAAACCAGAAACCATATCAGATTAGGAGAATCTTATTCCACTGAGTGGCTAGTTAAGATTAAAGACCTTATCACACTTGAAATTTCAAGACTTTTCTCCAATAGCCAGAAGATTATGCATGGTATTTTAGGGTTGGATATTAGCAGAGCTGATGAAACAGAATCACTAGTGGCATGTGCATAAGATGTTAACATTGGAGTATTTGAATTCATATGCTGTTGATGATGGCCATGATTGGAAAGGTTGGGATGCACAACCAAAGTGTTGAGTTGTTTTAAGAAAAGCCTGAGGTCTCGATAACAGCAAGATGGCAGACTGGCATTTTGCAGCACTCATCTCATTGTGGAACCATCAATTTGAACAACTATCCACACACAAAAATATAAGAGCTAAGAAACCAGATGAGAGATTACCTGAATGTGCCACACAAATAAGAAAAGATACATTGAAAAGGGTAAGAAGGACAGTTTTACATTACTTGCATCACACCTCCCTCAATCCCTGACAGCCCATCATGGAGAGAGATACTGTCGACCTGGAGGAAGGAGGGGAAGTGTACACCAGACTTAGACCCTAACGTTGAGCTTGCCCTAGTAAAACTCAGTGCTAGGCGGGCCCCCATGGTCCCAGACTTCAGGCCAATACCCACAAACCAAGCCTACAGGCCCACCCCGGCACCAGGCTGGATCCCATAGCCCTAGACTCCAAGCCTGTCTAGTGCTAGGCTGGTCCCTGTAGCCCTGCCCTCTAGATCGGCCCCTGTGGCCTCACATCCCTGCAGAACAAGGGTTCAGACCCAGTACTTGGCCAGCCCCTTGTGATCCAAATTCTAGGCCAACACCCACCTACCCAGCCTTCACACTGGTCCTTGCAGACCCAAGGTTCAGGCTCACTCTAGTAGACCAGGATGCCAGGCCAGCCCCTGTGGACTCAGGCTGCATGATCTCTGGACAGGCCGACTGGTGAAGGACTTTCCCCGATAAAGTCACTCTGCAAAGACTGGAACAAGTCTCAGCTTCTTCAAATGTGCAGGTGCCAACGCATGACTATAAGGATCAAGAACAGTCAGGGAAATGTGACACCAGTCAAAGGAACACAATAAGGCGCCTGAACCACCCGTAAATAAATGGAGATATATGAACTGCCTGACAAAGAATTCAAGGTAATTGTTTAAGGAAGATCAATGAATTTCAAGAAAATGCAGATAAACAATTAAACAAAATCAGGAAAACAATCAAAATGAGAAATTTCAAGATTGAAATTATTTTGTAAAAAACAAATTCTGAAGCTGAAAATGCAATAAATTGAATGAAAAATGCAAAAGAGCATTAAAAGCAGAATTGAGCAAACAGACAAAAGAATCTGAACTTAAAAGACAGGTTATTTGGCTAGACTAAGGAAAAAGATAACTCGATCAAAAAAATTAAGAGTTGTGTTTTTTGATGATAAAAGCAACAAGTCTTTAGCTAGACTAAGAAAAAAAGAGATGAGTCAAGTTAAATCAGAAATGAAAGAGGACCCATTGCAGCTGATACCAGAGAAGTACAAGAAATAAAAGGATCATAAGAGACTGGACAATTATATGCCAACAAATTGATTACCATAGAAGAAACGGATAATTTCCTAGACACATGCAACTTGCCCAGGCTTAATCATGAAATTAAAAATTTGAACAGTGACAAGGATTGTATTCAGTTATAATCCTTCCTATATAATCCTTCCTATATAAACTTCCCACCAAAGGAAGCCCAAGACTTGGTGACTTTACTGCTGAATTCTAGCAGACATTTAAAGAAGAACTAGTACAAATTGTTCTCAAAATTTTATGAGAAATTTAAGAAGGGGGAATACTTTCAAACTCATTTTGGGAGATGAACATTACCTGGATACCAAAGCCAAACAACTCTCCAGGATAAGAAAATTACAGACCTGTATTCTTAATTTAGATGCAGAAATTCTGAAGAAAATAATAACTAAATTCAACAGTGTATTAAAAGGATGATTTACTGTGATCACATGGGATTTACCGCCAGGGTACAAGGATGTGATACACCACATTAGGAAAACAAAGGCCAAAACCGTATGATCATCTCAATAGATAATTGAGATAATTGAGAAAAAGCATTTGACAGAATTCAGCTTTCTCTTGTGTTAAAAACTCTCACAAATTAAATATAGAAGGAATATACCTCTATAAAATAAAGGCCATATTGACAAATCCACTGCTAGCATTATACTGAATGTTGAAAAGTTGAAAGCTTTTCTTTTGAGATTAGGAAGAAAACGAGAATGCCCACTCTTGCCATTTCTGTTCAACACAGTACTGGAAGTCCTTGTGAGAGCAGTTAGGCAAGAGAAAGAAAAGGCATCCCAGTAGGAAAGGAAGATGTTGTTGCACCTGTTTGAAGATGACATGATCTTGTATATAGAAAACCCTAAAGACTCCACCAGAGAACTATCAGAACTGATAAACAAATTCAGTAAAGTTGTGAGATACAAAATCAAGTTACAAAAATCAGTAGAATTTCTGTACATTAATCACAAATTATCCAAAAGAGAAATCAAGAAGACAATTCCATTTATGATAGGTACCAAAAACAAAACACCCAGTATCGGTGGTTCTGCATTTGCAAATTGAATCCACATTTGGATGAAAATGTTTGAGAAAAAAAATACAACAATAAAAAATACTGTTTTCTTATACAATAAGAAAACTACAGTATAGCAACTATTTACGTAGCATTTATGTTGTATTA